CAAAGTGTTAGTGGCTTTTCTCAAATCACAAAATTTTTGAAACCAATATCACAATAGATACAGTTACTTTGAATTCTTTACATGAATTGTTAGTAAGTTTGAGGATATAAAATGCCAAGAGCGCATGTTTTCCAATAAAGCCTAAAAGTAATAGTAGGTTTTAAATGAAAGGAGAAAAATTCATCACAGGAATGACAGTAAATGTGTATTTTTTTGAAGCAAAAATTCAAACAGCTGTATGCATTCATGCATTGCACGCAACAAAACAAAATGCCTGGGGAGTTTTTAATCTTTACATTATTAAACTGTTTTGGCAACAAAAAAATTTAATGAAAATGTATTCAGAAGGCACAAAGCTGTATGTGCAAATATTATGAAACATCAGGGTTAAAATCTGGCAGGTGTTAGACAAGGAAAGAGGTTATATGTTAGTTTATCCTTAAATTCCATCCAAAATAAACATAATACTATCAAGAAACGTGTCTTAGAACGAAACTTAAAAGTGTATTTTGTCTTCACTAAAACAAATTACTCACAAGACAATAGAGTTGATACGAGTAAATAAGTTGGCAATATTTACATCCAAAAAGAACTCTAAGAGAGGGTATTATATGAACTCAAAATGTGTTAATTACCATTTTCATTAGATAATTATTGACTTTTTTGTCCGTGCGTCACGATTAAAATTTTTGATTGGAACCGAAGACAGCGAAGTTGTCTATTTCATAAATTTCAAAGTCCATAAAATAAACATCGTGCAATATCAATATGCATCGATATCCCACAGATGTATTTATATTCATAAACATTTGACGAGCGTCTTCATTAAACGCTTGACTGACGGAAGCATATACTCTTTTTATCTCTGTTCTTTACAAAAACAAAGCTTTCAAACAATGCATAGTGTGAAAAGATCTTTATGAACTCAGGTGAATGGAAGAATGCAACAATATTCATACCTCGGAATATTCTTCGCCGCTTGTGTATTCGCTTCCACTGACATAGCTTCCTGATTGTGAGTTTTGCTCTTGTTCAGCCTAAAAACAAACGAAGTATTATTTAAGTAAACCCTTTAAATATTTTATGAACATGTTGAGGTCATTGACTACGGACGGCGTCCCCTGTTGTCATGCGATAGCCCACGCACGAGAATCACACCTACTTTCCACAAAATTTTGATTTTAAATGGAAGAGGTCACACTGAGGGGGAAACCTGACATTTTTAAAACATATCAACAAGACTTTGCCTAACAGCATGAGATTTTTCGTTTATGAACGGGACTAAAGTTATCAAAGAAATTTGCGTGTAATACAATTAGGAAGTCACTCGTATCCAATTTCCATGTTAGCTTCCTCAGCTGAAGCTCAGAGACAGTAAATCGCACTTCCTGCACTGTAAAAAGAAGAATCCGTATATTACGTCCATGTCACTTACAAAATGAAAGTATCCATATCAATGCGCAAAATTCGTCAATTTTGTGGTCGATTTCCTCCAAAGATTATTGGTGAAGTTCACGCTTATGAGTCCAAACTTCAAATGTTAAACTATTGTTTACCACTAGAATTTCACTTAACAAGCAGCGCTTTCTGCGTTCTTCATAATTTTTTTCAATTTGGTTAATTTTTGTTAAAAAGAGACGATATTGCTTGAACACATGTGGTCGGTCTGCTTTATATAAGGATACTGTATTACAAAGTTATTAAACTCACATCAAAAGGAATCGGTGATCCCAGTTCTGAAGCGATCGACGGAGCATCTCTATCTGTATCTGCCTGACTAATTTCCTCCACCTCAACGTCTTCGCCTTCTCTGTGGGCCCCTTTTTCTTGCCCGGCCGCTGCAACCTCTGCAAGCGGTTTCGCACCCCGATCTTGTGATGTGCTTCTTCGTCTTCTCTCTTTACCCCCGGGTGAAGGGCTTTGCCCAGATCCGCTTGTGGAAGACGTCCCTTTCTTCTTCTTTTTCTTCGTCCCTGTGCCCGACTTCTTCTTCTGAAACATTTTGAGCTGGAAAGGTATTAAAACACAAGATGTTTAAGCCAAAAACTATTACGAGCTCAATGCAAAATCAATCAAAGTAGTTTCTGAACTTCGCGCGCAAAGCCACGTCACAGGGTTCAATTACAACCTTTTCCTTTCCTGCTTCCAGTTTTTTCTGCCTCTCTGACTCGTCGCTCTCCATAGTGAAGCCGTTGGGTACGTTGATCACGTCCACCAGGATTATTTAATGAAGATCTCACTTACGCATCTTCTGATCCGCATCTGCGAGAACAACCGCCATTTTCAGCTAATCAGTGTCGGCTCCGTTGTATATTGATCACCTGACTTCCGATTTATTCTTCGGAAACAATCGGGTGATACCCGAGAGGCCTGAGCTCTAGAATGACATTGCAAGTTCTGATTGCATTGCATTGTGGGGTGCTTTTAGAAAGAAATCCAAAATGGCGAATGAACTCGAGTTAGCAGAGGAAATGTCAAACTCCTCGCCTGAGCAGGCGATGGAGTTGTTTTCCTCTATTGGTAATACACTTTCAGACTTTTGATATCAAATTTTTATCCCGTTTCACCAAAAAGTGTTTTTTTTCGATGCCTGTGCTCCAAAATTGACTTCTTTTTTATTCTTTTGATGAATGACTTTTTTCTAGTGAAACGCGACGTTAGTAACAACGACGAAGAGGGAATCAAAATGAAAGAGCAAGCGATCCTCAGTCTTGGAAATTTGCTCTCCAAGCATGGAAAAGCAGAAGGTAAAGTTAAACAATCTTCAAGTTAGGAGCACATCTTTTAAAACCACGTGCTATAATAAATGTAAGCAAGTGAATAAGCGTAACATAATCTTAAGCTTAGCCTAAGTTTGTATATTACAGAAAGATTTCCGATAAAAATTGAGTAGCTTTTTGAATGGAACAGTTGAATCTCTACCGGCCACCTTGGGAACAAAGAGCGGTGGCTTTATTGGAGAGGTGGAAAGGTAGTTGTTAAAGGAGGTTCATGAGTCAATGTATGAACTGTCCACCAAAAGAGTGGCCATAATTGTTGAGAGGTGGCTATTGTGGAGAGGTAATCGTTACAAGTGGTTCAACTTTTTGTCAATGAACAGAAACCACTGTTCAGAGCAAAAATGTTAACAAGATGAAGGGTGCAAGGAGGAGTAAGTTCATTAGTTTGCCAATCGTTCTTTTTTATGGCTGTTAAGGAGAGTTTGTTTTAGGCAACTGGAATGCACTCTACTGGCTGTTACAGAAGCTACAATAGATTGATTATGAGTGTAATTTTTTTCTTAGAGCTTGGTGGGCTTATCAAGTTTATCAGACCATTCCTTAAAACAGTATCAAAAGCCAAAGCAGCTAAACTTGTCAGGAACTTGGTGGATGTTTTCCTGGACATGGAGGCTTCCACTGGGATGGAGGTATTTAATAAGAGTAACTTGTAGTAATCATAGATTGATAGAATGCCTCAAGATACCAATTCGTGTGTGATAGTGCATGGTTTTAAAGCACTACAGATCATGTAATGTTACATGATTTTGAGGCATTGGAAAAGGTGTGTGATGTGACAGGGATGTAATGTGAACATGGGCTATGTAGCTGAGGCGAGTACAACAATTAAGAAAATTTCCTTCATTCTAAACAAAACTTTACTACTAATAACCAAATGTTCTAGGGAGTGTGGGTAAGATTGATTGAAGATTAAAACCCTGTTACTTAATAGGTGCTGTTGTTTGCATAACTTTCTTGTGATAGAAGGTCAAGACCCGCTTGATGAGATTATGAGTGATAGAAGTGTTCAGAATGAGTTCTTTGCAATCCATTCAGTTTAGTGGAAGTTGAAATGAATACTGGCTACATACCTGTATGTGCCACACATGTATAATAACCTTCAGATTCGGATTGCAGGCTTCTATTAGTACGCCATCTGGTAACAGCAATGACAGCAGGTGCTTTTCGTACCCTTTTAATAGCAGTGCATGATTATTTAACATCCATAAAAAACATCTATTTGGACAAAGGGCTTTAGTAACTGGTGCTGAAATAATGCAATTTTACATAATTTTTCCAAGGTTGAACTGTGTAATGAGTGCATTGAGTGGGCCATGCAGGAGAAAAGAACATTTCTAAGGCAGGCTCTTCAGGTAAGTGACGCTGTATTGTAAAGTCAAAATTTTTTATTAAAGTACACATAAATAATGTTTTTGCATTTGTCTTCTTTAATAAAATTATTTTGAACACTTTGAACTCTGCAAGGCCAGGAATATTGACCTGATTCTTGGAGTTTTCCCAAAATTTCAAGATGTAAGGTTTTTTCCACACCTCAGTAAGTTGTTCAAATGGTGGAGAACAATACTGATTGTACAGCTTCATAATAAATTAGTATGTGTAATCAAATGGCAACAAGTGAAAAAGGCTAGGGAAATTATTAGGATTTGGAGAAAACACACGTGAATTATTCCCTAATTTCATGAGGGTACCATTGGATTACGTATTAATATCATGGGTGACAAATTACAAATCTAAGGAGTAATTCATCACCATGTGATATTATGGCAGTCATTTTTTTTATTCTTTTATCTTTGTAGGCAAGATTGGTAGGCTTATATCTGGAAACTAAAGACTACACGAAAGCATTACAAATAGGTAAGTATTGCTGTGATGGTAAGAGTGATAGAGCAAGGAAAACTTTATCTATAAAACGAATAGTCTTTTTTCAATAGTTGGTCACATGATCAACTTTCTGTAAACAAGTTTTTTGTTTTCTTTTTTTAAAATAGTTTTAGCAGGAACTGAAAGAGCACAGTCACAAATGTAATGATTGCAAGGACTGCCAAAGTTAAAAGGATTTGTAAATTAACTCTTGCCGTCCAGTCACAGACTGTTTAGTTGTTTTCTATACAAATCCTTGTAAATTTTGAAATTTTCAAACTGTTGTAACATATTTCTCTTAAGCTTTATGGGGCCCAAATTTTCTTTTGTTCATAGCCCAAAATCTACGCCCTGTGATGCACAAGGGAAAGATTTTAACATCAAGTTGAAAATATTTTTCATGTTTCTATTTTAACCCCTTGAAGCCCCAACATCCACTTACAAATTCTCCAAACTGATCTCTATACATTTCTATAAAAAATTAGGGGGGAGAATTTGATAATAGATCAAAGCTTTTTCCCTGAGGTGATCATTTTATTAATTCTCACAACCTTTTCTCTTGCTTTTGTATGGATATCGTTAGGAGAAAATTGATGTTGGTCACTCTTGGGACTTAAAGGGTTAATTCCTAAAGTATCTTTTTTAATTCCTCCATACTTTCCTCAGGTTCAAAACTTTTGAAGGAGCTTAAGAAGCTGGATGACAAGGCATTACTAGTCGAAGTACAACTGTTGGAAAGCAAAGTTTATCACAACTTGAGCAACATTCCCAAATCCAGGTTAGAATGGCAGCCTCTCAAGATCATTTTGTTGCCAGCATGAATTTTGCTGGTCATCTTTACACATCCTTTTCTCACATCAACAACTTCTCAAGCTTCCTTCCTTCTACTTCCCGTAGCTTACAGTTGTGCCAATGACTAGTACTTACATAGACTTGACAAAGAGCATATATCTAGTGAGCTGGAAGAGATTTGGTTCCCTTTTTCAAAGCCTGTCTGGCAAAATCAAACTGTTCACTAGTCAATAAACATAGGAAAATACACTGTAATCTTAAGTCTAACAAAAATCAGGAGGGTGATATTAATCTTTTTTTGTCTGATAGAGCTGCCCTCACTTCAGCAAGAACAACAGGTAATGGAATTTACTGTCCTCCAAAATTGCAAGCGTCACTGGATCAACAGTCAGGTATGATAAGGTTATTTCTCATAGTGGTTGTAAAATGTTACAATTCTAAATACATTATTTTAATCCCTGCTTCTCTAAATTTAGAAAGGGAATATAAGTGTTAACATTTTAGTTTCTGTTCTCCAGGTATTTTACATGCCGAAGAAAAGGACTTCAAAACAGCTTATTCTTACTTCTATGAAGCATTTGAGGTATATAAATGTTAATGATATGGCCTTGCCTAAAAATAAATTATTAGTTTTTGTTTTAAAGCAAGGCTAAATGCGTAGGTATTGATATGAAAATGAATTTTTCTTCTCATGCAAATAAAACTCATTTCCACAAGAAAGGTTTTCCACTTAGCCTCTAACATTTTGAAAGTGAGAGTTTTTTGAACTTGGAAAAATAATGGTCCATTGCCTTGTTGATTTGCAAGCATGCCTCCTAGAGAAGTGAAAACTGCTTTTTACGAGCCCATTCCCGAGTTTCCCTGGGCTTCTGTATCAAAAGAAGGTGAAGTGCTCAGCCTTTGATATGGAAATGCTTTTTTATTCTCAGTGTGTAAAGAAAGTAGTGTCCGATATCCTGGGGCTAGTGGATTTTGCTATTGGGCTAGTGAATTCAGTTTTTAACTTGCCTGATCGGCAAGTGATGTTTTTTGAGGAATTCGATTAACAGAAAGACTGTGAAATCAATTCTGCTAGTCAAAAAGTATTAGGGGCTAGTTGAAATGACGTCTGGGCTAGTAAAGTCTAGCTTCAGCTTGCCCGAATGGCAAGCTGTGAAAATGATTTTCTTTGCACCCTGATTCTGATGCAAATAAAACTCATTTTCACAAGAAAAGTTGTGCATCTGGCCTCATTTTGAAGGTGAGGGTTTTTGGAACTTGGAAGTGGCCTGTTGACCAAGGCATGGTCAGATAAACAGCACATTTTATATTTCTATTTTTGCAGGGATATGACTCCATTGACAACCCCAAAGCTGTGTCAGCACTAAAATATATGCTTCTGTGCAAGATCATGCTTAACAGGTTAGTTAGAATTATATGGTATCACCAAGATCTATCTCAATCTGAAATCCATCAAAGGTGTTTCTGATTTTCTACTTTGCAAGAAATCTTAGGGAAAGAATTCTCTTGTGTGGAAATTTCTATGACAGATTCCATTGGCATTCTTTTATTATGTCTTATCTTTTTAACGTGTGAATGGGGTACTCTTTTGTTAAATTTTTTGTTTTTACCAATGTTACCCAGATGAAGATGTTTGCTTTTTTTTTTCCAATAATATTATTATTAATTTTTTTATATATTATTTATTTTACTTTTTTTTTGTCCTTTTTTCAGCCCTGATGATGTTCAATCAATAATCAGCGGGAAATTGGCACTGAGATATTCAGGAGCACAGGTAAGCAAAATATTAATCCTGCTCTGTTTAACATTGATAAATTGTCAGTGAAATATTACAATGACTATCAGTGAACAGGGATGTCACTAAGAGCCTGCTGCCGGCTAATTTTGCTCGCCAAAAAAGACCTTTCCACCAGCTCAAATTGCTCTAGAAGGCAAAGACATGGTGTAATTTTAAAAGAACAGTTGAGTAAAAAAAGCTGCCTTAACTAATAAAAAAGCCTGCTTAGCTTTTCCGTATGTTTTAATGATACACTGCAACCAACACCATTTGCAATTTTTCACAAAAGAGTCTGTTGAGGAAACAGCATGTTTTTCAGTTTTTGTAGCCCAAAGTGTCATAGCATGTGCACTTGTGGGTTCATGCAAATGTAAGAAAAATAACTGGTTTTTTAATTAATTTTATGTTCATTTTTCAGTTGATTGCAATGAAGAGTATTGCCAATGCAAGCCACAATAGGTCCCTATCAGAGTTCCAACAGGTATTGTTATGTATTAAGCATAGCTAGTGTAGATGCAACTATTGCAAATGATTCTATGCAGAGCTCAAATATATTTTTAAGACTAATGCTGATCATGTTGACAAGCCAAAGAAATTTTGTCAAAGGTCCTTTGCCATTTACATGGGCAAACCGGTTGGTTCACGGTTTGGGCAAATGGTAATCAAAAGTCAGGCCGCTGAATTTCGTCCCAAAACCATTTGTACAGAGAGTTCCATTTGTCAAAAATGGGCACGAAGGCCTAAAACTGGTATCAAAGAATGCTTTGAAGAAATGGAACATGAATTTCCTTATGGACATTCGAAACAGGACTACCTTTTCAGATGTTATGGTGCTCCAAGAAATTTCCCACTGGAACAACTTGAAATAGTCATGTTCCATTTTATTCCCTGGCCGGTTTTTCTGGAAACTTTTTGTAAATGGTAAGCACTCTCAGTCACTAAAATATTATTTGTAATATGTATTAATATTACAAGCAGTTGTTCCTTTTTCAATGCTTCACAATCAGTATTTGTTTTTCTTTGTCGAAGGCTCTCAGCACTTTCAAACAGGAGCTTACAGAGGATCCTATTATAAGGGTATGTGTGTGCCATGAATGTAGAATTATGTTTTATCTCAATGTTTTTGTGCTGTACCTTTTTAAAAGATTGGACTATGAGTTTGAGTGGCACTTACCATTGTCAGAAATGGCTGGCTGGACTAATGCAGTTATAAAGAGAGTTCCACTATTAATCAGTACTTTTCAGCCAGAAATTCAAGATAGAACTACTCTTTCAGTTTGAAAATGACCAGTCCAGCCAATTCAGACTTTTGGAAAGTGCCCTAAGTGAGGCTAAAAAGGTGAATAATGGCGTTAGTGCTAAGAAAGAGGCTAGCCGAGTGAGGGACTGGGGAGGAGAGGGGCACCATCATTTCAATCTTCCCACTCGCTCATCAAGCTTCACCTGCTAATAGATCAGCTCAAATTATCAAAATCCATACTTGGTTCCGAGGCTGGGAGGAGTAAAGCGAAAGAGATGAATTATTCAGTCTTGAATCTTAATACGATTTCTTTGTTTATACCATTCATCCTCTGAGCCGAGTATGAATTTTAATCTATTTTTAAAACTATGGTAGCCTATTTTTTTTTGTACTGCTTACCCCTTTATTTACTTTTTCCAGTTAAGTGTGAGTTGACTATTTGACTCTTGGTTTTTTTCTTCTTTCATCTTGATCATTTTCTAAACTTTTACTTCCCTTCTCTTTCTTGCAGACCCACTTAGATGCACTGTATGACAATCTGTTGGAACAGAACCTCAGTAGAATTATAGAACCATTTGCTCGAGTTCAGGTACAAACTCTGTCGTATCAAAATTTAACAATTCAATTTTTTAATGGTACAGCTTATACTTAACAGTTAGCCCGCATAGTTGGGTGGAAAGTTATGCGCCAGGTACTTTCTTGGCGGCACGATAAGGGAGAATTAGCTGATTGCATCTACAAGTAAATGGAAGGCTTAACACTTTTACTCGATAACAAACAATTTTCAATTGCTTAGAACTAATATCATTTCAATGACTGCGGACGAAAACAGTCAGTAGAAGAAAGCAGGAACTGTTATATTTTACGTGTCATAACTGTGTATTATTTCATTTCAGATTGACCACGTGGCCAAACTCATTGATTTACCACTGGTAAATATATCTATACCGTATTGTAATGTAGGAACAAATTTTCCATCCACAAGTAAAAACTATAGTTAGTTGGTAGTTAGTTTCCTTGTTTCCTGTAACAAAAACGAAAAAAAGCCTGTGGATCAAGGGACCCTAAGTACCCGCGAAAAATGTTTTCGCGATATTTAATAGGCTCGATTACCAGCCGCTGCTCGGGAATTGAGCCCACCCTCCCTGGGCGTCGCCCTTTAGGATCCATCTAAACGAACTTTGTGCATTTCGTGTAATTATGTCTTCACTCACATTTTCTCTTTTCTCGAAATTAAGTGCCCGCAAAAATAATTATACATTTCTAACAGTTGGGTTTTTTCCCAGAAAATCGATTTTAAAGGCGCCTGCATGAGATTTTCGCCCACGCAGGCAAACTGACATATCAGACGTAGGCGAAACGACCGGTTTCCGTCTCTTCTCTGCCCAGTCTCGCACTTTGTTCTCACCCTCACTCCCCGACCTTTGTTTGACCGCTCCTGCTTCTTGACCTACGCAAAAATACAGGCTGTTTTGCGGTCAAATAAGTAGGGCAAAAACGGAAGCATTTGACCGAAGAGGTACAAATCTTGTTTGATGGCAGTCATACTTAAAGGCCAACAATATTAATCAATACCAGTCTTTGTTATATAGCTGGAAATTTCTTCCCAACAGCACGCGCTCTCATTGCTTACTTTGAGGTCAAATGACATGTAACAATGAAACTGTTTCCCGCTAAAATCTCTGAGCGGGCAACAGTGCAAAAATCTATGACGTCAGAGGGTAACAGTGCACTGTTACCTGCGAATGTTGACCGACGACCGCCGTTACAGCGAGGTTTCATGAATTTCCAGCTTCAAAATTTTCAGCTATATAACAAATCACTTAAAGACTGTTCCCTCGGGAAACAAAATTACTGTTTCCATCAGGACTAGACATTAAGTGTTTATTATTAGTGCTCTGGGTACATAATTATAGAAAAGTTAATTACAGGTTGACATTTAGCAAAAAAAGCACAGCCACTTAGATTTCGTTTTGTTTGTTTGTTTGTTTTTCTTTTACAGAATGTAGTGGAAAAGAAGCTTTCTCAAATGATTCTTGATAAGAAACTTCATGGTAAGTTAATAAACCAATCCCTAAAGGGAGTACAAAACTCTTGAAACTGAAGGAAGCCTCAAAATACTAGTCTGATAACCTTTGTCCTGTGAAGTTTGACAAAACTTTTTCGGGTGTTTTTTGCTATTTTTTCGGCTTTACCTCGATGTAAGAACCTCACAACTGACGTAACAGATATCGAATATAAAATACTAGAGACAACTGATTTAAACTACTAAATAAACATTAACATTCTACTTGTCTAACACCTCGAACTCTGGATCTGGAGGTCCGGGGTTCAAGCCACGCCCGTCGCGTTGCTTCCTTAGACAAGGAACTCTACTCTCCTTTGTCTCTCTTCATGCAGGTGTATAAAAGGGTACCGGCGACATACTGCTGAGGTGTAACCCTGCGATGGACTAGCATCCTGTCCAGGGGGAGTAGCAATACTCCTAGGCATGTTTCATGCTGCGGAAACCGGAAATAAGCTCCGGCCGTGTGAACTTTTGGCTCGTGTGCCCCATTACCTTTTTCCTATTCTAGTTGTCAGGCTCCGATAGTTCTGTGGTTCTCATAGTTCTTGTGCTTCTCATTGGTCTTGTGGTTCTCATACTCCGTGTGGTTTTCATAGTTCTCGTGTTTCTTTGGTTCTTGTCGTTCTCGTGGTTCTTTCGCGAATGTTTTGACGGAGACTGCTGGTACATCCTGAAGGGAAACAAAGGCAAACTCACAGGGGTGCCCTCGGCAAGAGCTTCAATTCTAGCATTCACTACTCCCAAACAGTTCCTTCAAACCGTTTGGCCAAAGATGCTGTCTGTAGAAAACGGTTTTGCAGAACTAGTGAAGAAGCACGAAGCACAAGAAGCGCGTCGTTTCGTAACCTATACAGTTGACGCGGCTGGTCGTACGTCCGGCTACCGTCTTTCCTGCGGATTGGACATAGCTGCTCAACCAATCCTTGCTCCTTACAGGGACACCACGAGAACTACAAGAAGCAGGTGACCCACAAGAACCACAACTATCAGTATGACAACCACACCGAGTATAAGAACCACAGAACTATCGGAGCCTGAAAACTAGAATCTTATTGTTTATTTAGTAGTTTACGTCACTTGTATCCTCGATCATTGTAACATCAGCTGTGATGTTCTTACACCGAGGTAAAGCAGATAAAATAACGTAGTATGAATGAGATTAACACGTATTCCATGTTTGAATTAAACTTTATTGATTAGAATGAACAGTTCAAGTAATGCATGTTTTTCTGTTCTTAGGCATTCTGGATCAGGGATCTGGAGTGTTGGTCGTGTTTGACGAAACGCCAGTCGATAAAACGTACGAGAGCACGTTGGAATTGATCCACGAGATGGGAAAAGTAGTTGATGCTTTGTACAGTAAAGCTAAAAAGCTTCAGTGAAGTCTATTTATGCTTTAAGAATTTTTTGTTGAGTCGCACTCTGTAACATTTGAAAATAAAAAGAACGCTTTATGTGTGAATATAAACATGATCGCATCGCTGTCTGTTGTGCGTACAGGGTTCCCAAAGGCAGGGAAAGTGAGCAAATTTTCCGAAAAGTCAGAGACAAACCTTGACTCTTGTCAAAGTAAGTACGAAAACAGGGAGTGCCATTTTCAGGTTAACAGTGGATTTCATAGAAATTAATGATAATACTTTCATGCAGTTAATCGATTTTCATCATTGGATTGCAATAAATATCGATACCTTAACAAGCCTTGTTAAGCCCATCCACAGTCAGTATGACAGACGCAAAGGGGGAGGGGGAGGGGACAAAAAGCGCAAAACGAAAAGGGAGGAGTCCCTTCTCCTCCCTCCCCAATTCCTCTCCCATTTAACCTAGTCTCCCCTTACCCCTTTCGACGCTTGCCACAGTGCCACACAGGCTATCACCTCTCTTTATTATTCGGCTTAATTGCAGAAGGCGAGTTTGTGTCCTTAATTGCGAGAGCTTGTAATAGCAGGGTCACCACACAATAGACATTCCTGAAATATCTTACCTATAACATACGACAAGGAGTTTTTTGCAGTAACCATTTGCAACGGATAACATATTTTCGTTTGCAAGTTTCCAACAAAAAAAGAAGACAAATATGATGACCAAAACGGATGACAAGCATTTTGTGCATATATTTTTTTCTATTTCGCATAACAGGCATTTTTTAACCAAGCCGGGAGAGACAAAGTCAAACGCTCGGCTAATTTTTATGGTTTACGGTCAAGTCGCCCGAACGTCGTCTTGCCCGTAATCAGAGTTATGTCGCGCGAAATGGCTAGTCAAGTCGCCCGAGGTGCTGTGTTATGTGGTTCGAAATTTTATCTTGCTCAGCAATATCCTAGTTTGCCGCGTTTGTCTCTTCTGATCAAAGATTATAGAACGAGATATATTGCTCATTTATCGCGCTTGTTTCGTTGTTAATCAAGGGTTAAAGAGCGAGATATATTGCACATTTACAAGAGCAGTTATGGGGTCCTGACATTTATACCGCTTGTTTCGTCTCATCGTCGCCTAAAGAACGAAACACACACTCTTTATTTCACAAAAATTAACTTTGTTTCTCCGTGCACTTCACCTTATAGAATTCGGGCGACCAACGAGCAGCCTGCACTTTCTTTATGTTTTGACATTTTCTTATAATCACCTGTAGTTGTGGGTTACAATGAGGTAACGAGTTGTTGTTGTAAACTTCTTCAAGTTCTTTCAAGAGCCATTATATCGCTCTTTGTTCAAGTGTTTGTCGTTTGCCTTACCGCGAGGGGTCTGGTCTTCTAGCCCAGGTCCTCGCGGACAATATTGCGGCCATCTTGTTTTCTATCCAACCGGCCGGTTTCCAAAGTCTGAAAATGGAAAATTTGAGAGAAGATTATCGGGCCAGGGTACGCGAAGATCTCCTAACAGAAGCTGCCTCGGACACTAATAAGGTCAAATTTTTCCAGGAGCAGTTCCAGGTCAGTCAAGGTGGTCGTTTTATAGTACGTGATACGTGATGATTATAATTTTGGAAACACATTGATCGATCGTACGCGGTCACTATCATCAGTTAGTGATGGAACGTTAATTCTTGAATCACGTAGCCAGTTTTGTGAATCTGAGCTTTTGATCAATATATGCAGTGGGATAATTTAGCCCTGAGAAAAGTCAGGTTACTGCCAAAGTTACTTCGTTAAGTCAACTTTAACCGTGTGTTTTCTTTTTTAAGCTTTGACGTACTCATAAGCTTAGAATAATATTAGTGACGTAAACAAATGAAGGGGTTTGGAAATTACTATATAAACATAATGTAGGATGACTTTTTGGCCTTCATATCCGAACTTCTTCATCCTATGCTGTATTTTAAAGGGAACATTTACACAAACGAAAGATTGATGTATTTGCCAGGCAACTTGAAATTTTAGTGACATCCCTGAATATTATTGTCATTGGACAGCAGCTGGTCAGTGATCTCTGACTGAAAATCACCAGCAGAGAAAGTATGAGTGTTACTTTCCAGTTCTTTCATCTTTAGAGTTAAAGGATGTGTTCATTTGCACAAATCAAAGATAAAAGATTTTTCCTGAATATACATACATATTTTTTAAAAATATTCAGTACACAGTGCAGTCTGTCACCCACTGCTTGATTAATAACTTTTAAGACTTTAAGACTAAGTCTTAAAACAAAGGTCGGATTACTAGCCAACAAACCATTGTCACCCACTGCTTGATTGACAACTTTTAAGACTTTAAGACTTAAGTCTTAAAACTAAGGTAGGATTACTAGCCAACAAAATGGTTGGAATGACCTTTTGAAAGCTAATCTCACAGGTGTTCCCTCCTCTCTCCCTCTCCCTCTCTTCCTTCTTTTTTTTCCTGCTCTCTTACTTCACGCCATGCTCCATCTGAACGTCTGGAACTGGCAATAAAGATGGTTGAAAACAGTGCCTTGAAAAATTTAGTTTAAGCTTCTTTCATGTGGCAGTTATTTCTATGGGCAATATTTTACAACTGCAGGGTTTGTGTTTATTTGTTGCAGAAGAAGGATGGATTGCCAGTATATATGAAAGGCAGATATGGAATTCCTATGACCAGGTAATTTGTCATACATTCAAGCTTTTCATGGTATGCCCTTCTCATGGCCACATGTAAAAAATATGGGATACTGATTAAACAATAATTTTTTTTTTACCAGAGATATAAAAAGCATGAGAGTGACTAATAATAGTTCTTAGACCAATAATTATTTTGAGGTGACTGACACATAGGCTAAGACTAAGGTTTAACACTTTTTTTAGTTTTTCTCAGTTTGTAGGGGAAAGATTGCCGGTTAGACAGCAAAGCATGTGGTCCAAAAGCTTTTCCCTTTGGTACATTTATAATATTGTGTTTTGATTATTTCCATTATTCAAACCACCCATGCACAAATTAAAGTATCTTAAAATCTGAAATTGGCAGTGCCAGTATATATTGTGTGCTCATTCTATCTCTGGTATTTTTAGGGTTGCATCCCATGACTTTGGCATGAGAAGGGTCACATGACCCCCTTAAGGGCCTACACATGCATCAAAGGGACTCGCTGTCCCACACAGGTGTTTTTAGGGGCGCTCGTTTTTCATCCCTCCCCACAAACGCCTACTCAGCCAAAAACAACATTCCTTTCCCATTGTTTTATTTGCGTGGTAAGTGACCAATAAGTAGTTGTGCAATGTGGTGTTGACAGGCTAAACGCGACTAAAACGTGACCCTAGAGTTACCGTTTTCCTTCTTTTCTCTCCTTCGCTAAGGTTATGAAGTGCATGGAGTATTCTAAAATTTTACTAAATCTTATTTTTGCCGCTCTGAATCTAAGATTTATTAGAGGTCAGAAAGTTTTTCCAGTGATTCATGCAGATCGAGTAATTATCAGATTACCTTGCGGTCAAGGTCAACTTTCCAGAATTTGGAAAGTACAATGTGATTGGCTAAGCATTGGAAAGGAATGTTGTCTTCAGTTGAGCAGGCGTTTGTGGGAAGGGATGAAAAACGAGCTCCCCTAAAAATGCCTGCGTGGGAGGCTTCAAAGGGACAGGACCAAGAATATTTTTTGCTCCCAAAATTTCCATGATTCTAAAGGATTCCTGCAGGGGGCACTTTGACTCCAGCTTTTCTGCCGATTAAAATTCAATATTTCTTATCAATCAAATTTCTTTGTGTATCAGGCTAACCTAAAAGTAAAGCAGGAAAGGTGTTGAATGAATTTGAAAATTTCAAAGGGTTTATCTCCTTGAGGTGAAAGAAAAACAGATATAAACCACTACAGGTTATTAACAAATGGAACTGAGCTTACAGTGTTTACATATATATCTCTTCCATAATGGCGGCCTTTTGATATATTCTTTTATATGTTTGATAATTAGCCTTTCTAGCCTTGTTTGAAGGTAAGAATTTTTTTTCCACACACTAACAAGGTCAGGCAGGCTAATTATTATTGCCATTATGAGTGAGGTCTACACTTTGGCATTTAAATTTCTACATTGTGACAAAGGTCTTCAATTGCAGATTTCTTTTTTGGTCAGTTGGGATTGGCTGCGTCATCACTGTGGGAGCTATGGGTCTTATGGCGACAAACAATTTGCCCAAAAAGCAGCGTTGAACAAGATACTGAAACTACAAAGCAGATCAAATGCCTATTTTATTGACAGTTAAATGCAGAAATGTGGCTACTAAACAAGACACAAACTTTTAAATGTCTTATAAATTGTTCCCTCTAGGCATTATGTGCCAGCTCAATAAAGACTGTATATGTTTTTCTTTGTAAGAGTAACTTATTTCTGTTGAACCTAGACTGCATCCATAAATTCATAAAAAATGGGATTTATTATCATCATCATCATCATTATTGTCATTATCATCATCATCCTCATCATCATCATCATTGTCAATATTATCATTATCATCATTATAAACATCATTATTAATATTATCATTATCATCCTCAGCATCATCATCATCATCATTGTCAATATTATCATCATCATCACTATCATCATCATCATCATCATCATTGTCAATATTATCATTATCATCATTATAAACATCATTATTAATATTATCATTATCATCCTCAGCAATATTATCATCATCATCATCATTATCAATATTAATATTGTTATATTCCTAGACTTTCACTCAACTAAACAGGGACTGCCATTGGCTGATTCTTGGTCACGTGGCCTTGACTAAAATCAAATGTATCCCGATCGTGCCTGATACGAAAACCCAAAAACCCAATGGGAAAAAATTGGGAACGTATTCCCCAACAGATGCGGTCGCACAACCCCTGGGGGTTGAACGTAAAAAACCAATCAATTGATGAATAAAGTAAGATATAAAAATAAAATTTGATAGTTTGAGAGCTGAGATGAATACATTACAACTGTCAAAATCTTATACAGCTATTTCGAGAAAGGTTGTGGCAGAAACTGTGCACGCGACAATCCGAAAGGTAATATGGGATACGATCGATACACTTGTTCTTGACACTGTAGCTCTCGAACCTACTTTTGTTCCTTTCTTTAGCACTCGCAAACATTCGTAGTTGGCCTTTCTTGCCATTCTTTGAAATTTCTTTGAAAAACAGATAACTAAAAACCACCCACAACGCCTTTTGGGATTGTCGCGCGCACTTTTTCCGACAACCTTTCTCGAAACAGCTGTATACCTAACAACAGTCATTTAATGCCACAGCGGCTCACGTGCGTTCATACCAATAGGAAAGTGTTTACATTCTCCGTCACTGTCACTACGTTTAGCTCCGCCAATGTAAATACATTTTCTATCTCCTGATTAAACTACTAAACTGCTGTAAAACCCTGCCCCTCACAGCGTCAAGAGGGCCAACTCGCCCACCCCTCTCCCCTTCGTCCTTATCTCCCGCACCCCTCCAGGGGTCTTTCCGGATGTTGCTTGCTTTGCGGCCAGCGACAGGTTGAAGTGGCAAACCACAGCTGTAAACTGGGAAGCAAGCAACTGAACATGCCTTGGTGAAATTCGTTCAGACGATGAAAATTATCGCCCATATTGATTCGTATACCGTTGAATGAGTCTGTGAGAATTTCATAAAACATTTCACTTTTGGGACAAAAGAGGGTTTTTAACTTAACCGAAATGTTGGCAGTTAAAAAGAATAATTACAGCGAATTCTGTATCATTCAAGCTGTTAGTCATATGGTCTCATGCCGTTCTTCGTCATTTTTTTTTTTCTTTTTTCATTAAAAAAAAAAAAACATTTACAATTTTTAAGGACTGCATTCTGCTCTAGATAACCGAAAAGCCTATAGGACAAAAGAATTCGAAACTTTTTGCTGTCTGTTCATAAAATGAGCTGGGAGTAAATTCTTTATTGATATAAAAGCTCTCGTTACAGTTTTATGAGTTTCTTCTAAATACAATATACTATTTCAAGACTTCAAAAAAAGACTTTTATTTTGCATTCGCTGCAATTTGGCATCAATTCATTAATAAACGAGAGAAAATTATTCACCCGCAGAAAGGTAATTAAAATTTACAAAGACTTCGTGATGAAAGCTTCATTTTCGTTTTCTTCAATGACTTAAAAACGTGTCTAGGAGTGCTGGCAGCACAGAATCACTTGTAACAACACGATTGACGTCTTCCTCAAAGCTGTGAGAGAGGCAGTATTTTTACCCTGTCATTCTTTGATGGAATTTGGCAAGAGAGGATAATGCCTCTCTTGTATTTGGTCAAGGGCCAAGCAAGATAAGAGCAAGTCAGGCAATAAATGTACTTATCCCTCAATCATAGAAAGCACCTGTCTCGGGCAATCAATAAAGAGAAAAAAAATAATAACTTTCTTTGAACGTTGTACTTCACCGCGGAGCTATTTGTAAATGCTCTTCAGATATAACAAAACAATAACTCCCGAATAAGCTTCATTGCTAAAATGCATTAGTTTTCAAGTCTTTTTCTTTCAGATTAAAAAGTCCTGTCATCCTCTCTTGCTCTCCCATAAAGATACTATGAGGATATTAACGCATAATATTCCTTAATTTTTGCTCGTGTGAATGTCTGCAGGGGAAGCTACACTTGAGTAAAATAATTATTTTCTGACTCTTCACGCACTAGCCTCCCCCCGCAGGCGTTTTTAGGGGAGATCGTGTTTCTTCCCTCCCCACAACCCCTAAAAACGCCCGCGGGGTAGGCTATTCACGCACCTACGCGCTTTATTTTCCTAAGAAACTCTCAGCAACTAGTCCCTTTAAATTTAAAGCTGCTCTCAAGGATTAATGTTCATTTTGCTGAAAGCGCAAGAACAAGTATGAAGACTCTGATCTACTCAGGGGGTGGAGAGGCCGGAAAGAGGGAAAGAGGTGTGCCCTTCCCCCACCTCTGCCACCTTGTTGGCTTTAAAAGAGATTTTTTTTTAAAAGAAAGTTTACCAACATTTGTACCTTAAAAATCTTGTCACGCCCTAAAACTCGTCATTCAGTAACATTTAGTGATTATAATACAAGATCTGCGGATATCCTCCAAGACTTGAGATGGGATACACTTGAGCAAAGACGGTCTAAACAGCTCGCAATAAGTGTTTTTAAATCTCTAAATAACCTTTACCCTGAGAGTTTAAAGAACATGTTTAAACCAACCTCTGGGGTTCATTCCTACAACGTGCGAGGTGCCTCAAACAACATTTTTGTACCAAGGCCCCGTACTGAAGCTGCTAAGACGGCCTTTAGCTATAGGGGAGCAGTCATGTGGAATGGCCTAGAAAATGTGCTGAAAGACGAGATAAATCTCAACTCTTTCAAGCCTGCCCTATCTTTGTCTTGAACCAGGGATTGCCTTGAGGGAGTTGAGATAGAATTTTATTTTAGTTATTTAATGTACCTTTAAGGTTGATTGATTTTTGTGTAATTAATTATAGGATAGATTTTCTTAATACATAGATATATTTTAGCATTAATGTAGTTTCTCTGAAAATTTTGTTATGTAAACGGCTCACTGGAAGAGTATTTTTAATGAAGTGATACCGTTAATAAAGCTTTATTGATTGATTCAGTCTATTTTTAATACATGTATCCACAAGAGAAATTCTCTCCACTGATCTGTATATTCAACAAAAGATCAAAGTATTTCCCGTTGCTGATAATTTTGTTATTATTCTTGTCATTAGGAGAAAATTGATGTCGGTCACTCTTACTGAGGAATTCAAGGGCTAACGACTGATCCATATATTTGTTGTAGCCATGACTAAGTGAATCCTTAGGCCGGGTTCTGACGCCGAACTTTTCATGAGCCGAATGAATAGTTCGGCGTCTGAATCAATTAGGAACGCCTGTTTCAATTTGGAACGGCTCAGCCGTTCTTTTAGCTTAGCCCGGCCGGGAATTTGGCCTTTGGAGCGTCTTTGGAACGGCTTTGACTCAGACGCCGAACTTTTCATTTACCTAACCTAATGCATAAATTACTGAGCAGTTTGACCGAAATGAGCATTTTTCTCCTTCTGAATTTAGTTCTGCTGGAATTACCGTAAGATCGGCGTCTGAATCAATTCAGCCGGTCCAAATAATTTGGGTCGGTCTTAATTCGAATTAGGTTCGGCTCATGAAAAGCACGCCGTCTAAACTGGAACTTAGTCAGGAAGAGTCTTGCTTTCAAACTCATTATCATTTATTTACTGATACGCTAAAAGCAAATAGCAACGGTTTACGTCAGTTTACGGTTGAGACCTTCACTTTCATGTAGACTAAGGAGGTTTTGATTTTGGTTTCGGAAACTGTTGGATACCCGTACCAAAAATTATTCTCTCCTGTCCGTACTCATAAACCTAACCTTTCTAAACGTCAACTAGCCTGTGTACAGACGCAGACGTCCCCTCCTCCAGGCTAAATCATGCATCGAGTTATAACGTCACGATGACACATGCATATTTGTAAGGCATTCCATTTGGCTGATGGCGTTACCCATTCGATAGGGGTGGAGCCGGGAGGAGTCTGTTAGTTCTAAGTGAATCCTGGGAAGGTTCGTGAAACGTGCTATGTTTTTGTGGAGGAACGTAGAGGAGTTCCGGTTGCTCTTTTTGAGACTATTAGCAGTTTAGACGTCATTGACTTGAAAAGGTCATTCTTATTTTGTGCTTTCGCAAGGGAAGGGCTGGAACAACCTAACAACGGAAAATTGCGCACACTGTAACCAGGCGAAAGAGAGACCTCGACCTGTTAAGGAAAGAACTTTGTAGAAGACAAGCCTGGTCAGATCACAGCAGTTAATAGTTTTATTACAGAGGACTGCCGCCGAAATAATTTGGCTAGTTATCGTGGTCACATCGGGAAACACTTGATCAGGTTTACAAATACTTCAAGCAAAACCAACAACATGGAGTTTGACCTTTTATTTCGCATAGTGGCTTGTTGTTTCCTTCAATCTCTGGTTATCTATGGCTTTAATATCGATATTAAGAAACCTGTTATCTTCTCTGGACCTAAGGGTAGTGAATATTTTGGATATTCTGTAGCTCTTCACTCACAAGGAAGCTTGTACTGGTAAGTGAAAGTTGTATGTACTAACATTTTATGAATTATTATAAAGCATAACGTGCGTGATTGTAGAGTATGATCCGGTCCAGTTGAGCCAACCCTCTGTACTAAAGCGGCTTCAAAGAATATTTATTTTTCTCTGTTATTTAATTGCCTAACTTTACTTTACTTTACTTTAGAGTATAACAAATCATTTTGATAAGCCGTATATACTAAATATTCATTCCTTGATATCCGTAATACGATAACTTTACATTTTAATGGTTAACAAAACACATGAGCCTAATATTTGGGCGGCACACTTATTAAAACTGTCAGACACATTTATACCAAATGAACAGGGAAATGAAATGGTTTAAGAATCCCAAAAATGTCTGCTGAAATGCATTAAATGCTGAAAAAATATTTCATATTCGCATCGGTTTCAAAATCTCCGTGTCAAAAGAGTAGTTGGCATACAGTGTAATTACATCTCTCTGCTAATGTCCATAAAGGTCGTTTCTTATTGTTGATAGAAGCGAAGGCCATTTAGGGCAACTACTTTAACACTTGGATAAAAAAAACTGGATAAACATGAAGAGACCCTAGAAATGGTGGTATTGACATCATTATCAAAATCTCTGTGTCAAAGGGGTAGTTGGCATACAGTGCAATATGTCTGGGCTGGGTTGTTCGAAGCTGGGTTAAGATAACCCAGAGTTAGTGCGAAATTTGAACTCAGATATGAGAGCTTAAAAAGCAAATTCAGTTTCATTCTCTTTACCTACAATTTGATGATTGGATACTCTAAAAAGAATAGAGAAAATTATATGAGAGAGTGATTTTGATAAAAAGAAAAAGAATCCCAGGTTAAAATTCAATGCCGGGTTAGTGCTAACCGGCATTTGAACAACTGGGCCCCGTCTGCTAATGTCCATAAAGGTCGTTTCTTAGTGCTGATAGAAGCGAGTAGTGCCATTTAAGGCAACTACTTTAACACTTGGATAAACAACTGGATAAACATGAAGAGACCCCAGAAATGGTGGTATTGACATCATTATTAGTCTCGTTTGCTTTAGCTGCGAGACTCAGAAAATGCAAGCGTTTCTTGTTTTTTGGGTGTGTCTGTGCCGAAAGGGGCTCGTGGTCCCAGGCGTTCCTAGTGTAGACTGAGGAAACTGGGGATAAGAATTGTGACGTGTCACAGCGCCATGCTTTATTTTGTGAAGAAATCTTACATAGGAAGAATTGATGCGAAAGATGTAGAGCTCTTCCTGAACGGGTCGGTCCACAAATTCTATTGTTTGAAAGCATTGATTACTTTGGAACAAGTGATTACTTCAGTGAAAACTTTGATGGTGAGGCTATAAAAATGAGTCTTTTGATGAGCATAAGGTTTGTTTTTCTGCGATGATTGAAATGTTGCGCCATGTTCATCATGTTTTTAGTCCCTGGCAATGATGTAATTTCTCTCAAAGTGATTTTCGTGTCTTACATGCATTCTCAATCATCATCAAATACGATGCAAAAAGTAAATATCGTGAAGAATACTTGACCATCAATAAAGAAGGAAGTGAAAAACTTTTAGCGAGTAAATCCGGTTTCATGTAGAATTAATTGCCTCATCATTTCTTATCTGATCTCCAAGCAAGCGAGACTTGACTCTTTTTTAACCCTTTAAACCCTAACATCAAAATTCAAATTCTCATTTGTTATCCCTATACGTTTTCAATAGAAGAAGTGGGGAGAATTTGTTGAAGTATCAATTAGATTCATCTTGTGTGATCATGTATTTAGTTCTCATGACCACTCTGTTTTGTAAAGCACTGATATTACAAGGAGAAATTTGACGCTGATCACTCTAAGGGCTTAAAGGGTTAAGAACATTCCCGTTATTGAGGCACTGCGCTATGTAAACCTTCTTGAAAGTGAATTTACGTCATTTAACATGATAGGGGAATCAGTTGGGTGGGGGAAGGGAAGGGGGTGGTTATGCATGTCCCTAACCATTCATTTTACTCATTAGGGAGGAGGGGGAGGGGGCTTTTCAGGCCAGAACTTAACCTCGTTATGAAATGACTAGGAATATTTCGTTTTCACCCCTGGATTGGATGCCAGTCAGTCACAGGGTTACTGCCAGTATTTAAGACGGAATCCATCAGGAAATTGAGTAATTTTAATTTTCAGTGGAAAAAAATCTTGTACCAGAATAATTTAAAGAATATTGCATTCTTTTTTACATTTTTCAAGGGCTAAAGATGTAATAAATCATCTGTAGTGACACCAAAGAAAATTTCTCATGGAAGTCCGAGAAAATAAATGTCAAATTTCACAAGAATTGTGATCATACAGGTAAAATTCCAAAACGTTTATGTGTGAGATGTAATTTTGTGAAATTTGACTTTCATTTTCTTGGCTTGGGTCATGAAAAATTTTTTTTGTTGTTATTACAGATGATTTATTACATCTTTAGCCCTTGAAAAATGTAAGAAAGAATGCGATATGCTTTAAATTATTCTGGTACAAGATTTTTGTCCACTGAAAATCAAAATTACTCAATGTCCTGGTGGATTCCGTCTTAATTTGTTGATACCTAGTTATACACCTGGGTGGAGTAAGGCTTTGTGAGAGTGAAGTGTGTCACCCCAAAAGGCAACACAATGTCCTTTGCAATGCCTTCAATGCATCTAGAGGCAGTGTGGCTGAGTGGTTAGAGTGCTAGACTTGCAATTCAGAGGGTCCAAGTTCAAGTCCTGCTCTGACCACTGGCTGGATTTGTTCTTGGCAGTCCTGTGTTCAAATTCTCGACTACAGTTGTAAATAGCCATTTTGCCCCCGGTCGGTTGGGATTCTTACCCTTGTTAAGTTTGATTGAGATTTTGTTTCAGGTATTTTCTTGGCACCATTAGCATTAGTGCTATAAAATAAGTGCCATGGGTAAATAATGGAAATTATTATTATTGTTATCTTGATACAGAGTCCAAAGCACTGGTTTCTTGGTGTTTCAGAAACCATTGTTGGTTCGCTTGGATGGGTGGCTATTTTGACGCTCTTCTCTCAGTTACATGTTTGAGGAAAAAATATAAATAAATAAATAAATAAACCTTAACGAAATAAATAATTAAATAAATGGAAAGTGTTAGGCTTGCAACTTCCCTTCGTCACTGATTTATCTTTTTTCATGAATGCTGATTGAAGTGTATAATTTTCTCCTACAGGGTACTAGTTGGAGCTCCAAAAAGTAATGGTACTGCTAGAACTGGAGGTGGAACTCTTGTAAGGTATGGAGCAGCATTCAGATGTCGATACCCTGGAGACAAACCATGTGATGAAGTTATAATTGATAAAACACGTAAGTGTAGAACTTTATTAGTTTTTATACAGTACTTAATCTGTATGTATCTCTGACAACTTCTGGTAAGCAAGGTAGGTGTGGCTCCTCTCTTGAACTGCTTGTGAAATTATCAGTTTTAATGGTCATAACCAATCTGAGGATAGAGAGCAAGGAATGAGACAGCATCAGTGTGCATCTTCAGATCCTGAGAGATCTTTGGCATAAAAGAAGAAGCCAGTTATCATGTCTAAATGCTATAGGGGAAGTGTCAGAGATCTCTTGACTCGTACATTAATGAGTATGATTTCATCAATTTAGTCAAACCGGTCCGAGAAAGTGGGCTGCAGTGTTCTAATATTTTCTATACTGGGCATTTGACTGGTCCTAGCTACTCCTATCCCAAGAAATAGAGAGACAGAGATAGAGATGGCGCATTCGCTCAACTGTATTTGGGAATAAGACTAATATACTAGCTCTAAAGTGGCTTCCTTGGCTTTCACTGCATGATACTAAATCCAGAAATCTGGCCTGAAATAACCCTATGCAAGAATGTAGTTTTCATTTCAAGTCTGTTATTTTTTTGAGCTATTTTGAAAAAAATAGCTCATATGTCAGTGGTGTGAGCGTATGTATCTTTGTCGCTTTGTATCTTTGTATCTTTGTAACTTTGTACCTTTGTACCTTTGTATGTTGGGATGTTTGTTGCAAGAGCCAAGAAGGTTAAAGGTACTATGAGCCGATGCTTAGGAACCTATGAGATCTTGGCATCTACTTAAACATGACGTTGCTAAAGGTCGAACAAGGGCACTTTGAGACCGCCATCTTAATTCTTCACAATTTTTTTGTCTTTTGTTACGGCTACAGGTGTTTGGAAACATTATATTAAATATCTTCATGATTCAAATGCTGTATACAGTGATGCAGCTGTCTAAGGGTTCATATTTTAGTGTGGATGCTACTTCAAGACATTTCTGACCGAATTCGGCTATCGCTAACGGTACTGACGCACGTATTTATAAATTGTGTTTCACCTGCTTCAAGGTAGAGTATAAAAGATCGTATATTTTCAAAGCTCTTCCAGTGAAGCAATAATTGATTTTTAGATATGGACTTTAATTCGAAAGTATGTCGCCTATAAAATGTGGTTTTACAGGTTTGAAAGGCAGCTTATTTTTTGAAAGCTGTACCAAGTATTGTTAATCCTGTAAACAAGCTTTAGAAATATTATTCTCTTGCTTACAAAGTTCAACAGACCTTTTTTTGTTCTGAAGAAGATCAACATCTTCACGTGCAAATTGTGTGCTTGAGTTATTTTTATAATTCTGTTTACTAGATTACTGTGTGATAACTCGAATTCCCTCACATACGAACAAAGAAAGGTGACAAAGTCCAACACTTTCACGTGCCAGTTGTGTGACTGTACATCTCATGCAGATTGGCTTTTCACAATAATGATGGTAACTCGCTTGAACGTATGAAGACCTGTTTCGTTTTGTAACCAATGCCTTAAAAAAGGCTCTTGTCTTTTAAAAGCAATAGCTTTTAAAACGTGAAGAAATCAAGACTTTAAAGTTAAAGACTGTTTCACTGAGAAGAATGGCACGTGAAAACCTCGTGAATTGTGACGATGCAATCATCTACCACAATGATAAAAATCCTGGTATGTCTTGACTACTCGAATTTGATGAGTCACATTTTGGCTTAAGAAATTCCGAGGAAACCTTAGAGTTTTCCGTCTAATCAACGTTTGGTGAGTAGATATTTATTTAACTTTAACAATTTGTTTAACTTGCACCAAATGTAACAGGGAAAGACAGAGGAAAGTGAATATATAGCATGAGGATCGACGCAGCTGCGCGTTCGCGTTTTCTTTTATGTACGGCAATACCCAATTTCGCACTAAAACCCAGTCTACATTTAAGACAAAAAAGGTAGATTCATCACACTTCGTAAGGTTACACTGAAGCATTCAAAATAGCTCATGCACATTTAACGTGCCTATGTTTTTATCTGGAAATGACCCCTCATCAAAAGTCAAATGAGCTTTCACATAGCTAGGCGGGATACACATGTAAGAATGCAATGCCTTCAAGGTGATCCATCCACCATTTTGTTGTTTTTAGATGGAGAGAGCTCATTATATAAGCCACAGGTAACCCAATTAAAAAGGATGTCAATTTGAACAAAGCATCCCAGTAAAAATCTTATTCCACAGTGTACCCACCTATGCTTTCTTTAACTGTCTGTACCCCGTGCTCTTGTTTTGGAACACCCTTTCTAGGTGGTTACTGTCTTTCGCAAGGAAAAACCAGAGCATTTATCTTAATTCCCATTTCTGGTATGTCTTTCCCCTGGTTTTCACCTCCTCTTTGCAGTGATTTTGTTACCTCTGTGTCCTGCGTCCCTGACGCATAGAAATCCCCAAAGACGCAAAACAATTCAAAGATTGATCGATTGAATAACATGTGTATTTGCAGAAATATCCCATTCATGTAATTTCTGTGGCAGTTATTATGGCAGTTGTTTAATGATGCATATTTCTTTTAGCCTTTGTTGTGCTTTTAAAAAGAAGTACTAAATTTTAATTTCAGTATACTGCAATACAGAGTTTTGGAGCTGTCTGTCTTCAGATTAGCTGTCTGGTTACATAAAGACCTAAGCATTTTCAATTTCGGACTCTTTTTTATTTTTACTGGGACTCATTGGTTCTGGACTGGGACTCACCAAAACTATTTGTAACAAAATCACTGTCTTTGGTGGTTTCTGTGTCTCCTTAGAAAATATAGTGTTTGCGCTAGATACCACCTTGTCCTCTTGGTCTCAGCCTTTGTTTTTTTTTACCTGAAGATTCCCTAGATATGGATCACACAACATCTGGTCTATGAAATTTAGTGTTATCATTATTCATGAGGTTGTCACGTGCAAAATTACTTAAGGTGATTCCCTAGTTTTGTACTGCGCATCTCTTACTGCACATAACAAGATGGCCGCCATAAAAGAGAGCATGTGAAGTAACATTATTAAAATGAAGTTGACTGAAGAGAAGTGCTATTGGAATTTTTGCTTCCGGTTGTTTCTTGCCAAGGTGAGACTCAAAGTGTTGGGAATGTGCATAACGTAAGTAGTACGCGTGTTGCTGTGTTCGACTTCCTCACGGAGAACCTCGATAGTGGACGTTTAAATTGTGCATACTCACTTTGATTTTCATTTAAACGCTTTCTTTATCACATTGAGTCCTAAATGTGATATCTCGATGTAAATTCTGTAAGAACGGATTTTTAAATACTTTCTTCCCTCTTTTACATACATTCTCTTTTGAAACTCGCCCCAGTCCTCTCTCAAAAATCGGAGAAAATGCATTTGATGCGCACTTTCTGCAACTCTACCCCAAAAACGAGAACGGTGACCCCCATTTTTTATTTCATGATTTTAATAAGCACAGTGCTTCCTTTCGATGAGAAAAAAATTGGCACAAATCTATGTTCAGTTTTTTGGCAATTTTACTAAATTGTACGGATTGAGCTATCATGGGTCGAATAACGTGTGTCCAATTTAATTCTGCTTTGGAGCGTAAAGTAAAAACAGGGGCATTAAAAGGCATTTTTCTGATACGTAAGTGGATAAACAATACATTAAAGTCAAATTCTGTGTGATACCACATGCATCATAGAAAAAATCTCTCCTTTTTATCTAGTTTTGGGCTGCGCGCGGTTTTTGCCAAAGGGTCCTAAATAGCCGTATTTGTCAGCATTGTGACATCAAAACAAGCACGGTGACCCCCACTTTTTATTACTTTTTTATCATCCTCTTGACTTGTTACAGCAGTGTACCAAGTTTCATCTACATTCTATGTTAGGTTCTTTTACTAGGGAATCACCTTAATGAACCAGTCTTTAACTCTGATGACTTGATTCTAAAAGTGTTGTAAGTTATTGATTCTTAAAAGAAAAGAGCCTTCACTTAAAGCACTAGTTACAAAACTACTGTGAAAAGCAAGTCTGCATGAGATATACAGTCACAAGTTTGCACATGAAAGTGTTGGAATTTGCCCCTAGCGTGGTCCGTACATGAGGGAATTTGAGCTATCACACAGTAATCCAGTAAAAAAGGATTATTAGAATAACTCATGCACACAATTTGCACATGAAGGTGTTGGACTTTGTCCGTTTTACAGTTGATACGTAAAATAATGCAAATTGTTTGCTACAAAATTTGCTCAAATGATTGTTCGAAATTACCTCAGCTTTACAATGTCTACAATAATTAAATTATGCTGAATGCAATGTTAAGGTTTATAGCCTAACATTTGATTTCCTTCCAAGAAAATCATCAAACTGCCGAAATGTATTTCTAATCACATCATGTTATGCCACTCAATAAAGCAATATGTAATTATTTTGTCAACTAGCTTCTTCTCATTTAATTCCCTGACATTACTGTTTCTACTTGAGTGACGCATCTTTACTAAATAAAATATGTTTCAAGAACTATAATGACTTTTCAGCAGCCAGCGTGTTTCATGTTGTTCTCCTAATTCTTTTTTTTTTGGCTAGCACGAAAAAGGTCAGTTGAACTTTGTAAGCGAGAGAAGAGGCCCTGCCAAGGGGGGGTCCCATGTCACAAGTCTGAATTTTAAAACGTCTCGTGTCGGTGTTTATAAATGCTTGTCGCTTATTGTCGGCTTTGCTGTCACTGTCACAATTTGGGCGAGGAAGGTTGTCTCTTGTTGCGATTTCATTTTACGCATTGTCGCTACTTTTTGGGCCATGTCGCTTGTCGGAATTTACCCTGGCAGGGCCTCAGAGAATAATTCTTGTTTACAGGATTACCAATACTTGCTTTGCCTTTCAGACTTCTAAAACCACAATTTAAACTATATAGGTCGCATACTCCAGAATTAAAGTCCATATCTAGATTTCAATTATTGTTTCATTGGAGCAACTTTGAAAAAGATATGATCTTTTCCACTCTACCTTGAAGCTGCTGAAACAGAACTCAAATTATGAAATATATGCGTTATACCATTCACGATAGCTGAATTAGGTCAGAAATGTCTTGAAGCAGCACCCACATTCACTGTACTCAGCATTTGAATCATAAAGATATTTCAATGTTATGCTTCTAAACACCTTTAGCCGTAATAAAGGACAAAAAAATGTGAAGAATCAAGATGGTGGTCTTAAAGTGCCCTTGTTTGACCTTAAGCCGAGTGAATGTCATAGTAGATGCCAAAATCTAATAATTGGTACCTATGCATCAACACATAGTACCTTCAACCTTATTGGCCCCTGCAACAAACATCTGAACATACAAAGATACAAAGGCACAAATATACATACGCTCAAACCACTGACATATGAGCTATTTTTTCAAAATAGCTCAAAAAGTAATAGGATTATGAAGCAAAACAACAGTTTTGCACAAGCATCATGCTTTTTTGTACATTTCTTTGCCATCACTGCATGACTATGACGTGAAAATACCTAGTTTCATGTTTTATGGAGGACATAAACAAGCGACAACAAATTTTTCTTTCTCTTTCTTAACTTGAGTGCGGTCCCCAAGAAATCAACTCCAGGGAATTTCCCCTACATGTGACATTTTCACTGAATTGGAATAAACATGATGTACATAGTTTGAAAAACTGTGAATTCATTTTAAAAGTGATGTTTTCGTCATTGGTGCTAAAGCTCTATAATTTCAGGGGAAAGTGTGAGTTTGTTCTTGTTTTTGTTTTTTTTACATTTCTTCTTTGTGATCATTTTTAGCGGCAGCTGAGATAGACATTGGCAACTCTAAGTATAAATCAGAAGAGAAGGAGGGTATGTGGCTAGGAGCAGTGGTAACTAGCACCGGCAAGGATGGCAAAGCAATGGTATGGACAATGTAACATAAATGGTAAAAGATGTTGTAATGAGCATGCTTCAAACTCACCTTTATTCAAAGTTGCCTTTTGGTGACCTAAAATCATTTGTCAGGAGGTACAAAAAGAACTCTTTGGTCATGTTCTTTTGGGGCTAACCTAGAGGAGGTTGGACAGCAGTTCGCAAAGGATCATGGGGTAAATTATCAAGGAGCTCAGTTACAAGAAAACTGTTGAGCTAGACGGATCTCCATGATCCACATCTTTTTGCAGATTTAAGCCACAACATTGTGCTAGAATTCATAGTATTTTCACACGAAAGGCTTATCTTATCAATCATTTTATAAATTTCTCATGGCTAAGTGGTTGAGGTGCCTTTAAAACATCTTTTTTAGCAGCGTCGAAAGTTAGCCGGATTTAAGACACCTTGCAAACAAAGCCAGCTGTATCAACTATGTTCATTCACCTTTCCCAGACAGTGACAGTTATTGCGAATACACATTCAACTGGCCAATGAAGAATTTGAATGATGGTGAGCTTAGACAACTGAGACAACTTTTAACCCTTTAAGCCCTAAGAGTGATCAGCATCAAATTTCTCCTTGTAATATCAATGCTTTGTAAAACAGAGTGGTCATGAGAATTATGGACATGATCACACAAGATGTATTTGCTTGATATTTTATCAACTTCTCCCCACTACTTCTATAGGAAATGAATAGGGGCAACAAATGAGAATTTAAATTTTGATCTTAGGGTTTAAAGGGTTAAAGAACTGCACCTGTTGACCACCATAAAATCAGTTCAGCCGAAGCACAGACATGCACTTAACACCTTACTAGTTTCTTCAATAATCATTGATAGTGGAACATTTTAAAGTGGAGGGGCTAACTGACTGGAGAAGCTTAGGAGAGGGAGGCTAAGGCTAAAGCTCTCCCAGCCCCCTCCGCCTCACTGTCTATGATAATATCTTTCAGTTTATCTATACAAAGTAATAATGGATACTTAGGTTAGCCAGGACTTGAAAATCTGTGGTATGCCTACTTGTTGCTCTCAATACTAAATAATACAAGTTACATGCAAACCAAAGTACCTGTAAATGCTCACTAAAAGAGTCAAGTCCCACTCGGAAATGTTTTACTGATAGCTTCTTTTATTTGGTCAGGAAAAGTACAGGAAAATAACTTTTATTTGTTTTCTCCCAAACATTGCAATTCTATGTTAACACAAAGTAAGAGATAAAAATTTCATTTGCCAACAGAGAAGCCTACCCAGAAGGCAAGGGTACAAAAGCCTGTAATATATAAATACCCAGGAGAGTAACAGATCTGATTAAATTTTATGGTCTTTTAGTAAGTAATCTGGAAGTTAGAATAAAAAAACTCAAACTCAATTAATTTGATCTCTGCTACAAAAATGTCAGTCAGGCATGCAGTCAAAGATTTAGTTTGGTACTTTATAGGGTAGGACAACAACTGCTTTGATTCTTTTCTTTTACTTCATTTATAAGCTGACATTTTTAATTCTCCTTCGTAACAGTTTTACTTCATAAAATGTAAAAATATGCACAACTCACCAAATTTCAGGAGCAATATTATTGTATCAAACAATAATTCAGTTATCTTTTGTTCAGGATTTTTCTCTGCCCCTGTGCTTGTTAATCTAGAAAGAAAAGAAATCACAAAAAACAATTGATTAGCACTTTCCTCCAATGTCTCAAACAAAAAAAAGCTTCATATGATCAAGAAACAAAGAGGGTGCACTTTCACACTAACTTAATGTTATTGTTGTAGCCTTATGAGAAATGAAACGTGGTAAGATATGCTCCCAAAACATAGCTCACAACGTAATCCTGCTTTGAGCGGTGACACGGCTTAATCTACATGAAAAAACAATAAACTGTACTCAATATTACAAAAACCAAAGTGAAAAACATATTAGAGCACAAATAAGAATCATAGTGTCGATTTACAGTGAGAATGTTTTCCCACATGAGGCCGACTGAAGTGTGGTTAAGTGTCATACGTCGCATCATTTACCTCTGCACTTAACATGCTTTAAATGGAAAATAACTCAGAAACTGTAGCAGGGGCGATGGGGGGGGGACCATACAAAGTTGAAGATCAATATTTTTTCTTCAAAGTTTTGTGAAAAGTAGACCAGTTGAGACAAAGAAATGCGAAAGAGTCCCATTTCAAATGTATCACTCAAAAAAACCTAAAAGAGCAGCCATTTTGGATTGTCGAGCAAAGCACGATGAAAATAATCCTTAAAAATCAACTCACCTTGAAGATTCTTGCATCAATACAATCATGAGGGTCCAGGTAAACCAGCAAAGGAAATTCTTGACGAATCGATGATGGAAAATGAGGAAAAACGTGAAATAATTGAGCTAAAACTATGTTTTGAATTTTCATCTCACGGTCTATTGCAAGATGGTTTTCCTCGATCCAAATTGCTCCTGTGAATCTTTGCAAACTGCTATCCAACCTCCTCTGCGGCCAACCCTTTCAACCAAAGCCAGTTTTGGTTGACATGGATGAAGTTCCCAATAGGATACTTTTCCAACCATTTCTGGTTGAAATGAGGTTGTGACCAGGTATAGTCATTTCCAATTTTCCTTGACTTCAGGGATACAGGATAAGTACAGGATAAGTAAGGTTTCTTAACGTTTAAGGGAAGGTTTCACTGTTCCGTGCATGCTCATTAATCAAAAAACTGTTTTCTGCGGGGACATGCTGTATTGTCTATGCAAGCAGAATGATCATGTCATAATGTTGTCAAAGAACCAATTTGCACACTCCCCTGGGAGTCACTTGATCAACTTATGTGCAAATAACTGTAGATTCATCAACCATGGAATAAAAAATTTAACATTGGTAGTGTTGGCATAATCCACTAATTTTTTCTGCGATTTTAGTACTCCTCCATCCTACTTCAGGTTACTCTGAAATACAGTTCTACTTTGAAATACACTCTGAGATTGCTAAGATACATGTAAGTGGGATTATTAACCTATAGAATTAATAATAAATTGAAAAAAGTAGTTTAATCAATGAGCATGTACAGAACCGTGAACCTGTCCCTTTAACTGCGAGTTTATTGGCCATCAACCAATTAGAAACTTTCTCAAGTTCACAGTTTAAGATATCTTGTGATGAGATCAGCATTTGAGAAAAGGACATTGGAGTTGTCAGCAAATACTACTAATTTAAGGAAACTTGATGAAAGCTGAATGTTATCAATATACAAAAAAAAGTAAAAAGCCTAGGATAGACCCCTGTGGGACACCACATTTAACTCTCTTATACTCGGAGGCCACGCTGTTACATTCAACGTACTGTTTTAAGACCAAGACCCCTTATACCATAGTGTTCAAGTTACATGGTTAACTGTGTCAAAAGCTTTAGACAAATGTAAGAAAATGCCAGTACAGTACTCTTTTTTCTCGTTAGACAAGATCTCATCAATAAGCTGAATGAGAGCTAAACTGGTAAAATGTTGAGATCTAAAACCATACTTATGTGAAAATAAAATAATCTGTTTCTCAATAAAATCAATTAGCCTATTATAAACTACGTTTTGAAAAAAATTAGAGAAACAAGGCAAAATTTGGCCTATAATTACAAAATAGTGAATGATTGTCACTTTTATAAACAGGAACAACTCTTGCAATTTTGATCGTGTCAGGGACTATGCTACTAGTATGCTATACTAGTAGAAATAGACAAGTAAATTAAGGAGCAAAGTGGTACAGATAAGATTTTGACAATGGATTTAACATCAGACATTTTATTTATGTGGCTAAATTTTTATTGAGGCTGAGTTAACCTCGAGCCAAAGCCGCCAGTGGTGGTCCTGTATTAGCATGCGTGACATGCAGGGTGGCTCATTTGGGGTTTTCAGGGCTGCTATCCTTTGCATTATTTTGCAAGCTTTTTTTGCTGATCGTTACGGATCACTTTTGCTTTGTGTTGGCAAATCTTTGCGGATTCCTTCTTCCCTCCCTGCTGTCATGTGTGGGTGCGCACGTAAGTATGTCACTTGGTAAGTATGTTTTCCACTGAGTATTTTCTCAGTGTGACGGTGCCAGTTAGCGGCTGCTGGCAGTGGTGGTTCCCGCTTCCAGGGTTGCCTGGTTACCTCCTTACCTTATTTTTCGCATCTGGCCTCCCCCGCTAACCTTTTAGGCCCTAGTTCTCAAGCTCATCAATTGGTGATGACTTTAATACCTGTTTAAGCCCCAAGAGTAATCAACATTGTTGCAAACTGTAGTAGGAAGTATCAAAAATTATCATAACTTCTAACCTGTACCTTTTTTACCTAGGCTTGTGCTCCCAGGTACGCTTTACGAACAGTTTCATCTGACACAATAAATGAGTACTGGCCTCTTGGACAATGTTTTGGGCTTGAGAGTGACCTTTATGGAGCTACACCAAAAGAGATATTTAGTCCCTGTGAAACTGGTAACTGCAAAATAAGTTCTAGATTAGTAATAAGCGTTAAGGAGTGCAGGCGAGCTTAAAAGGTTAAAACACTCTTGCTTCAAATGCTGTGCTGTACATAATTTTTACATGATAGAAGGTCCAAATGGAGTAAGGACACAGTGCAAGCCACGCAAAAACAGCAACAACAACAACAACAAAAATTGAAAAGCAGTAAGACTCACAGAAAAAGAAACTCTAACTATTGTAAATGAGTGTTGAACTCTAAAAGTGCTTAACGCTGATCCTTAAATTAACGGTTGCCTAACCCAAGTCAGTTAACCCATTCATCACTTCATAGTATTTCATCTACATACTCAAAAGTTAGAAAGACATACTAAATAAAATAATAGTGCCATGTGAAAGTACTGCTGAAGAGGTTTTATTTGAATGGTAATTGCATAGGATTTCATCCACAGACTCAAAAGTTAGAAAAACATACTAAATAAATAGTACCATGTGAAAGTACTGCTGAAGAGGTTTTGTTTGAATGGTAACACCTTAGGATTTCATCCACAGACTCAAAAGTTAGAAAAACATACTAAATAAATAGTACCATGTGAAAGTACTGCTGAAGAGGTTTCATTTGAATGGTAACACCATAGGATTTCATCCACAGACTCAAAAGTTAGAGCTACCTTCCACGGCTCCATCATTTACTCTGGGTGTGAACGAACTTAATGTTTCTATTGACCATCGATATCTGGTCATCTCGCCACCAAACTATCTCTCCACCGATGAAATCGCCACCAGGAATAGAAATTAGCATAACATTGTTTTGAACCTTCATGAACGGAAATTTCTTAACCGTTACTTTATTTTTATATTTCAAAGAAATGACTAGTGGTTGTGAAACGTTTCTGCCAGTTTTGTAACCTCTCAAATGTCAAAGTTTACATTCACAGAACCTATACATGTATTTATTAATTATTGTTATTTGCATTAACAAGAGCTTACGACGTAAGGAATGATCTATTAGGATCGGCACATTTGAATTTGGATCGACTTTAAATTTGAATAAGCTTGACGAAAATCTTAGGTTAAGTAATCCTAGGTTTTAAAACCTTGTCAATTATTTCAGAGCTATTCATTGGTGGCGAGTCGACTTCTTGGTAGCGCGATAACCGTAAACCTAACCGTATAAAATTCCATTTTTAGAGACAAAAAGTAACGTAAACTTTGGTTACTGTCAAGCCGGATTCAGTGCAGAGTACACTACTCATAATGGACAAGAGTTTCTCATCGGCGCCGTTGGAGCCAAAAGTTTTAAAGGCAAGCCTTTGGTTCATTCCCTGTGATAAATACAAATGTAGATACCGTAAAATTCCAAAAATAAGCCCCGGGGCTTATATTATTCAAACGCCCTTTTTAGGGGCTTATTTTTGGAGGGGCTTATATTCGGAGGGGCTTATCTACGGAGGGAAATTTGCGTTTCAAAATCGATTGAGTTAGCCTTATAGCTGGAAGAAAACTTACTGTTTTTGCTTTGTTTTACTTTGTATTTGAGGGCGATTTTCCAAGTACAAGCCCCCGGGGGGCTTATATTTGGAGGGGCGATTTAACGGAGGATTTTTCGCGTTACCGGTTTGGGGGGCTTATATTTGGAGGGGGTTATACATGGGGGGGCTTATTTTCGGAGTTTTACGGTAGCTAATTAAAATATATTTTTGGACACACAATTCAGCATTTTGAAGATATGTTTCGGCGTGACTCGAGCCGTCATCCTAGTAAAAATTAGGGACCTTAAGATCCGAAAACGGCGACGGCAACGAGAACCTCAAAAAAGTAAAAGAGGTTTAATAACCAAGACAACAATTTTGCGAGAGCGTGAATTCACTTTTTCAGCGACGTTTTCGCTGCAGTCGCCGTCCTGGGATCTTAAGGTCCCTATTTATTCCCTGCTTCGATTTCTTCTTCTTATATACCCGTAGCCTGCGAAAACATCAGTTTCTCCTCGCTCTTCGTAGCTGGGGACGTTTCGCGCGGAGGAACGTCTGCGACTCAGCGGCAGAAATTCCATACTGATGACGCAAATCAATGTTTACATAATAAATCCGGTAGTCATGGGGTTTCAAATATAAATTGGCCCGGTAAATTGGTCCAATTTTATGTATCCTCTGGTCGATTTTGGTAAAGTGTTGTGTTCACCTGCTAAAGAGCTCCAGCAAAACTCAAATACTTCTTCTAGAGAAGACTATAATCCACAAATGTTGACTGTTTTGTCAGAGATTCTTCACATTTACATTTGATCTCTGTGGCCTTTTGTCTTTTGTCTGTCAAGACTGTCATTCGTAAACAATCGCTAAAACAATGTAACTTCTCTGTCGACCAACCAGCGCTTCTGACCGGATTCCGGACAGATTTTACGTCGTCTGGATGAAATTTCTGTCGCTGAATCGCAGATAGCCTGCGTAGCTGGCGGTATTGTGTAGTAGTCGAGTGAGATTTGACGGCGGAGCCGTCACGAGCGGCCACACAATACCACACAATACCCACACAATACCGCCAGCTACGCAGGCTAAGTCGCAGACATTCCTCCGCGCGAAACGTCCCCAGCGGCGAAGAGCGAAGAGAAACGGATGTTTTCGCAGGCTAATATACCCGAAGACCGAAGATGATACAAAAAATTTCTTATTGGATTACAAAGACAGATACAATTTATTTGAAAATCATGACAAAGTTAAGCATCATCACAGGGCTTGAAAAAAGTCCCGTCCGACCGTTAGTCTGGGACATGTAGAATTTCTTGCAGGGCAAGTACTTGTAACTTTTAAGGTGGCTCGGTGGGGTTTTCCAGGGTCAATACCTCCCATGTTTGAGCATAAGCTAGGTCGTCATTAACAAGAGTGGAAACATTACCAACACCCTGACCACCACAGCTTTATCAGATTAAGAAGAACATTTGTTATTGTCAGGGTTACAGTGACATCAGAGTTTTCATAGCAACGAATTGACGCCATTATCTATTTTACTTGCAGCCGTATTTCTCGGCACTGGGAACTGTCCTTCCAAAATCGTTTACGGGAGCTTTTTCCTCCAATAGCTGCCTCGATGTTCGTGAAGTTTAAGCAAAATCTATGAGAGCGGTATCGAGATATTTTGGGATGAAGTTTTTATGATCAGAAATACGGTAAAAACTAGACAATCTTGATGGCCTTTTCGGGGATGTGCCGCTGGAAAGGGTATGGTTTTTGTCGCCTCCGTTCTAAACAGACTATTTATTTTGCGCGAGTCTGTCCTAAACAGGGTATATAATTTTGTGTGAGTGTGTCAGTGAGTCTGTCCTAATTACAGTCAAATCTCGCCTTGAGGACAACTCGCTATAACGGACACCCCGATAAAACGGACAGCAGCTAAATCCCCGGTAAAAGCAAATCACAGACGTTTGACTGAAATAAATTTCCGCTATTACGGACTCTCGCTAAAGAGGACACTAACTCGAGGTCCAAAAAGGAATGATTATAACGTAAATTTGCTCTATTGCAATTGCCAAAAAAAGGGGGGGAGAATTTTGTCTCTGGTCCTGTCCTGAACAGGGTAATTAAGTCGAAGGTGTTACAAGTTTCAAACCCTCAGTGGCTCATTGGTCGAATACCCCCACCCCCTGGTCTTCAGTATGTCTGGGTTGAGCTCGCTGAAATAAGTTTAAATGTTATACTATTGTGAGTTAATCACTCTGAATTTCTCCTCAGGTGTACTGTTTTTCAAAGAACCAAGTAACCAAGAGTATTTCAGATCTGTGGTAGATCAACTTCATGATTCAAACTACATGGGTGAGTCTTAATTCAATGGATTTACAGTCGTTCAGCCAACGTTCTTTTCGCTTACCTGTTAAGTTGTTTGGCCAACTTATTAGGTCAGTTCCCTTACTTTTTTTCGCCTGATCAATTGCTTAAAGAACGATGTGTATTACATGTGTATCGTGCGTTTCGTTTCTTTAGCGGACAAGTTAAAGGGGCTGTGTCACGGCAGTCCCGTTCATTTTGTTTAATTTTGCCAATTACTCGCCCTCAATCGCTGTGGAACTTAAAGTAAGCAAAGAAATTACATGTAAATGACAAATTCAGAGATCCGAGACAAACAAACATGTCTCCTGAGCATTATTTTTGAAGTTGCAAGCAGCAGGGATCATCTTTGAAAAACTGTTAGGCTGAACAGTTTTAAAAAATCCTAATTTCAATCCGTTTCAATCTTCTTCAGTTTTGCCCATCCATGACATCTGTTGTTTCTGTTATGTTATTTTAACCTTCCTTTAAAGTTTTAAGCGGTTATTTTTATGTTTCTCTTAATTTAACGGGCATTTTGTAATTTCCTAAGTTGGCTGAATTTCGTGACACAGCTCCTTTGAGACGTAAGCGATAGGGACGTTACGGAAGCGACTCGTAGGCGAACCTACCCGTCACGCCATACATGATGGTAATGAGAAGGCCAAGAAGGCAGGAGCTTTCGTAGGCAAAACGTTGTGCATCACACGGGAGACAGGTTTTTGGGTAAATCTCGCGAATGCGGAAAACTGCAAAGGATAATTTACAACAATTTTATTGTTGTAGATCATAGATCAAATAGTTTGCTATTTGCTCTCATAGTAGTTTCTGTTACGAAGATGTATGAATCAATAATCGAACGAACGAACACAAGAATTGTGAAAACACAGGTAAATCCTGAAAATTTCATGTGTAAAATTTCATTTTGTGAAATTTGACATTTATTTTCTGGGGCTCCCACGAGAAATTTATTTTGGTGTTATTGCAGCTGACTAATTACATCTTTGGCCCTTGAAAAATGTGAAAAAGAATGCAATGCACTTTAAATTATTCTGGTACATTTTTTTGTCCACTGAAAATTAATATTACTCATTTTCCTGATGGATTCCGAAAAAACCCTCTTGGCTTACAGTCAGACTTCTTTTTCACTTATCGTGAAGGTTTAGCGCGCCTGCGAACGGCAGACGCATTTCCGGTCGTCGCTTCTCTCCCTCCGAAAATAGCTACAATTGTAGCTATTTTTCGGAGTTTCGGAGAGAGAGAAGCGAGGACCGGAAATAAGTCTGCTGTTCACAGGCTAAGGTTTAGCTAGCCTGCGTGGCAGGCGTTTGAAAGGGAAGGAAAAGGGAGTTTAAGGTGTGAGAGAAACGCGAAGGGCGCGCGAGGAGGGAAACGCGAGTCGTCGCTTCTCTCCCTCCGAAAATAGCTAGCTATTTTTCGGAGTTTCGGAGAGAGAGAAGCGAGGACCGGAAATAGGTCTGCTGTTCGCAGACTAGGGTTTAGCTAGCCTGCGTGGCAGGCGTTTGAAAGGGAAGGGAAAGGGAGTTTTAGGTGTGAGAGAAACGCGAGGGGCGCGCGAGGAGGGTGGGAGGTAAACCTCTCTCCTCGAGCGCAAAACCCCCCTTTTCCCTTCCCTTTCCAACGCCTGCCATGCAGGCTAAGGTTTAGCCTTCGCTGCTGCTGTAGTTCACCCACTCTCTCTCTCTAAAAAACCCATTCCTTAGCAGCTCTCTGTTCATTCGCTTGCTTGGATAATATGTTTACCCAGAAAGAAGTAATAAGCTCCTGGTTTGCCTTAATGATTTAGAACAAATTAGAACGAAGCTTCCTACTCTTTAAAGCTCGTGTCAACTTATAATGAATGAGTTTCTCAAGTTTATTTTGAATGGTAACACCTTAGGATTTCATCCACAGACTCAAAAGTTAGAGCTACCTTCCACGGCTCCATCATTTACTCTGGGTGTGAACGAACTTAATGTTTCTATTGACCATCGATATCTGGTCATCTCGCCACCAAACTATCTCTCCACCAATGAAATCGCCACCAGGAATAGAAATTAGCATAACATTGTTTTGAACCTTCATGAACGGAAATTTCTTAACCGTTACTTTATTTTTATATTTCAAAGAAATGACTAGTGGTTGTGAAACGTTTCTGCCAGTTTTGTAACCTCTCAAATGTCAAAGTTTACATTCACAGAACCTATACATGTATTTATTAATTATTGTTATTTGCATTAACAAGAGCTTACGACGTAAGGAATGATCTATTAGGATCGGCACATTTGAATTTGGATCGACTTTAAATTTGAATAAGCTTGACGAAAATCTTAGGTTAAGTAATCCTAGGTTTTAAAACCTTGTCAATTATTTCAGAGCTATTCATTGGTGGCGAGTCGACTTCTTGGTAGCGCGATAACCGTAAACCTAACCGTATAAAATTCCATTTTTAGAGGAAAAAAGTAACAAAAACTTTGGTTACTGTCAAGCCGGATTCAGTGCAGAGTACACTACTCGTAATGGACAAGAGTTTCTCATCGGCGCCGTTGGAGCCAAAAGTTTTAAAGGCAAGCCTTTGGTTCATTCCCTGTGATAAATACAAATGTAGATACCGTAAAATTCCAAAAATAAGCCCCGGGGCTTATATTATTCAAACGCCCTTTTTTAGGGGCTTATTTTTGGAGGGGCTTATATTCGGAGGGGCTTATCTACGGAGGGAAATTTGCGTTTCAAAATCGATTGAGTTAGCCTTATAGCTGGAAGAAAACTTACTGTTTTTGCTTTGTTTTACTTTGTATTTGAGGGCGATTTTCCAAGTACAAGCCCCCGGGGGGCTTATATTTGGAGGGGCGATTTAACGGAGGATTTTTCGCGTTACCGGTTTGGGGGGCTTATATTTGGAGGGGGTTATACATGGGGGGGCTTATTTTCGGAGTTTTACGGTAGCTAATTAAAATATATTTTTGGACACACAATTCAGCATTTTGAAGATATGTTTCGGCGTGACTCGAGCCGTCATCCTAGTAAAAATTAGGGACCTTAAGATCCGAAAACGGCGACGGCAACGAGAACCTCAAAAAAGTAAAAGAGGTTTAATAACCAAGACAACAATTTTGCGAGAGCGTGAATTCACTTTTTCAGCGACGTTTTCGCTGCAGTCGCCGTCCTGGGATCTTAAGGTCCCTATTTATTCCCTGCTTCGATTTCTTCTTCTTATATACCCGTAGCCTGCGAAAACATCAGTTTCTCCTCGCTCTTCGTAGCTGGGGACGTTTCGCGCGGAGGAACGTCTGCGACTCAGCGGCAGAAATTCCATACTGATGACGCAAATCAATGTTTACATAATAAATCCGGTAGTCATGGGGTTTCAAATATAAATTGGCCCGGTAAATTGGTCCAATTTTATGTATCCTCTGGTCGATTTTGGTAAAGTGTTGTGTTCACCTGCCAAAGAGCTCCAGCAAAACTCAAATACTTCTTCTAGAGAAGACTATAATCCACAAATGTTGACTGTTTTGTCAGAGATTCTTCACATTTACATTTGACCTCTGTGGCCTTTTGTCTTTTGTCTGTCAAGACTGTCATTCGTAAACAATAGCTAAAGCAATGTAACTTCTCTGTCGACCAACCAGCGTTTCTGACCGGATTCCGTATTCCGCTGAGTCGCAGATAGCCTGCGTAGCTGGCGGTATTGTGTAGTAGTCGAGTGAGATTTGGCGGCGGAGCCGTTGTAATATAGTCGAGTGAGATTTGACGGCGGAGCCGTCACG